GGGCATAGCCCACCATTGAACAGGCAATCTTGTTGTTACACCAGCTGAGCCATCCTGCCACCTGTTGGCAGCTCAGTGACTGCTCAGCTTGGGCGCAGCGTCACTGGCCCATGTGGGAATCGAACCAGTGGCCTTGTTGCTCAGAGCTCACGCTCTTATGCCAACAGCCAACTCTTAACCAACTGAGCCGCTCGGCCGGCCTTAGAGACTTTTTGATCATCACATTTGTACTGAATATTTCTTTTAGAAAACAAGTTTTTCCCTCTCAAGTACAGACTGTTTGGAATTGATTTAGTATTCCCTTTTAGATCTCATGGATAACTTATTTTTTACTGTTTTGAAATTGATTTTATATTCTATTTTGGCTTTTATTTTATGATCTGTAGCGTAACATCTATGAGAAGGATTACATAGACAAGAGGGCAATGGAACAATTCATTCTTTATATGAATATACCTTTTTTTTTGGCTTCTAACACAGATCTATGATCGCATTTTGTCAGTTTCCTCTCGAGAGGGTGAGACGATTGAATTGGATAAACCTGTGATGGCAGAGGGCAATGTGGAAGTTTGGCTTAATTCTCTCTTGGAGGAATCTCGGTCCTCATTACATCTTGTGATTCGCCAGGCAGCTGAAAATATTCAAGAAACAGGTTTCCAACTGATTGAATTTCTTTCTTCCTTCCCTGCTCAGGTCAGTGTATTGAAATTGGAAAGTATTTTTTTTTACAGAACAGTCATTTTAGAGCTCATACATTGTCTATTATAAACTATACAACTGGTTGCAATTTAATTCTGGACCAGTATTAAGATTTTCATAAGGCTTTATTAAATATAGATAAGCTTAAAGATTTCAACTATAGATTATTTAGTTATATAAATGTATACATATATGCACATGTATGTATTCTACAGATATTTGATATATGTTGTATAATTTAAAGTTTTTTTTTCCACTGAATCTCTTTAGTATGAATCATAAAAATATTCCAGGAAAATGAGAAATATATTTCAGCATTAAAATACAGAAAACAATGTTTTCTTAGTCTTTGTGATCAATAAAGATTTTGCAAGTATCCACTGTGTCAACCCTGTTTTAACTTGGGGAGAGCAGGGTTAAGACATATTCTTTCCCTGCCAGTAAGTTAAAATCTATGTTGGGAGGAATATGACTTAAAATGAATGATTTAAAATTATAAGAAAAAGTTATAACTACTTCATAAAGCTGTACATACTTAATTGTCAGGTAAACAATGTGAAGAGTTTCCATATGTGATGCAACATATCAAGTTGATGCAACCCAGGTTGAGTTATATTTGCATAATAATCACAACTCTTCACTCTCTTGTCATTTCTATTTAAATATATTCATCTGCCACACATTCATGAAGGCTTTTTTTATTTCCATAAGGTTGGATTATTAGGAGTTCAAATGATATGGACACGGGATTCTGAAGAAGCCCTTAGAAATGCCAAGTTTGATAAAAAAATCATGCAGAAAACCAATCAGTCTTTCCTGGAGCTGCTGAATACATTGATAGATATCACAACCAAGGACCTGAGTTCTATGGAACGAGTGAAATATGAGACTTTGATCACAATTCATGTGCACCAAAGGGATATCTTTGATGACCTGGTAAATTCTTGCTAAATGCTGTGATGTACACAGAAAAGCAAACCCTGACCTCTGTCTGTGTTCACCCACTGGAATTAGTTTGAACTCAAAGAAGAGGTTAAATTCAGGCAAAGGATCATCTTCACGATGAGAGCTTGTTTGTCAAATTTTCTTTGCAGTCTTTAGCTGAAATTTCTGTCATATCCTGATAGCCTCTGCTAAAATGTTATTGAGGCAATTAGACTTTATTTTAAAATTCTTCATGTGATTATTTTTAATGCAAAAATGTCATGTAGCATCCTGAAAAGCTTCCACTTGTCGCATGCTCCTTTTAGTTATTAGTTGAAGATTAACAGTTTCTTGTTACAGAATTAACTAATATTGCTAGTACTGCCGCTTAGCACTTCCTTTAAGCCTTTTTGATAAATCACATCTTTAACAAGTGTTGCTACCTTTCACGTCATTGACTGCAAATGGTCTTTTCTAATATAGTTTAAGACATTCAGGTTTGTGACATCACACAGATGTTTGCCTTTCAAAAGAGAACAGGGCCAGCCAAGTGGCTCAGTTGGTTAAGAGCTCACTCAAGAGTGTGAACGCTGAGCAACAGGGTTGCTGGTTTGATTCCCAGCCTGAGCTGAGCTGTCACTCAGCTGCCAACAGGTGGCAGGATGGCTCAGCTAAAAAAAAAAAAAAAAAAAAAAAGAGAGAACAGGGTAGGAAAGAGTTTAGTAGCTATAGAAAATAAGAAATGTGGAAAGAAATGAAATTTGTCCTCATCTATAAAGTAGGACATTAGATAAGAGGCAAGACGCTCTTATTTTCATAATAATTTCTTGGATCGTCTCTCACCTCGTTATGTACAAAAGATTATGAAAGATCGGCTCTGATGTAATGGAGATAAAGGTAGCATAGTCAACCTGTTGTGTGTTCATCTCCTCTCTTAATAGGTAAGCACAGTCTGCCCCTTGGAGAAATAAAGGGCTCAGAATAATTTTAAATTTCTCATTTGCCAAAGAAAAATAAAGCGGCTTAAAATTTTGGTTAAAAAATTCAGACAAAAGTGTTGCTGGGCAATAGCCTGCCATTAGGTATTAGAAATTTTGGCCTTCGGCAAATCCTAGGAAAACAAGTGATGGATTAAAAAAACAACAGCAACCCCAACAATGTACTTTTTCATAATCACAAGACACACCTTTTTTCTCATGAGATTGTCTTTGAACTCCCAAACATGCTTTTTGTAGACTGTGTAGTTCATGGTTAGGACTGTGGTATTGGGCACTTAAGGGTGAAATTTAAGAAATGAATATATTACTACTAAAATACATCATGCTGTTTAAATTGAGGAGCACCATTAGAGGATTCGCTTGAAATTTCTCGTACCCGTGTCTTACGACTGGGTCATACGGCGATGTCGGCGATATCTCCGGAGCAGTTGGGATGTCCCTGATTCCATTTACTTCACATTATAGTCTACATGAATGCTAACGTGCCCGTTTCATGGTTCTCGTCTCAGTTGTAACCTCTGCCTTTTGCATTTCAGTGTCACATGCATATCAAGAGCCCTACAGACTTTGAGTGGCTGAAACAGTGCAGGTTTTATTTCAACGAAGATTCTGACAAGATGATGATTCACATCACAGATGTGGCTTTCATTTACCAGAATGAATTTTTAGGCTGCACTGACAGGCTTGTCATAACTCCGCTCACAGACAGGTGATGGGAGGGTTCTGGGACTCCACCACCTCTCCCCCCCCGCCCCCCCCCAAAACATTTTTATTCTCTCGAGTTGCTCAGGGGATTCCTGCTTAAAGTCTCTTCAGGGTCTTTAAGCTTTTTTATACCAAAGTCTTTGAAACTTAGTATTATCTTCGCATGGGATGTAGGTTTGTGCTTGAAACAGGTGTGACTTCCTTTGCCTTCAGTTTTATAGAGGCAACGTTTAAATGACCTGTGTGGACATCAAATGGGCAAGAAAGGGAATGAATTGCCATGTGCCAATAGGTGCAAATCACAATGGGCCTCGAGGGCTGCTTTGGGGACTGTAGCACCTGTTGTAATTACAGACCCAAAATAGATGCTTTTTTTAGTAGGAAAGAAATTGGGTGTCAGGGCAGGTTAGCAGCACTGGAGAGCACATGGGCCTGCACCCCTGGAGTTCGTACATCTGCTCTCTGCCTGTTATTTACCAGCTGTGCAAGCAGGAACTGCCACCACTTCCCAGATTCAGTTTCCTTATCTGCAAGCTGAACGAGGCTATCCCAAGGGTCCTTCCATGTCCGATGCGCTGTAACTCAGTTTAATGTGAACTCTGTGGCATCAGGCAATTGTATACACTCTGGCTGAAGATGCACTGAATGAGTACTTATTTTGGACAAAATGGCTGAGCATCAAAGTCAGTATTTGGCCTAAGCAGAAGCTGTAGCTGAGTAGCAGTCATTTTCACAGAGTGAACGTCTGGGCTATTGGATTGAAAATATTATCAGACAAAGTGTGCAAGTCTGACGCAATGGCACTGACATTGCTCGTGTGTGCCTTCCACTCATTCGTGAGAGGAAACGAAGTGCTCACTTTCAATGGAGAATGGAGGATTAGCGAGAGATTTTAGCTCATGTCATTTTCGTCCAGTGTTTTCTCATCTTCATACTCTGTCTATTCCTTCATACGTCCGGATTGAAGATGACTTGTACTGGATGCTGTTGGATATCATTTTGGAGATTTTTTTCTTCTCTTTGTTTTGATGTGGAGAAGTGGACAGTACTAAATTGTGAAAAATTCCTTGAAAACACCTGTGGCTTATGCACCTATGTCACACTTTCTCTATTTTCAATGCTCCAGTGCTTCCTCGCTTCCTGTCTCTCTTCCGAAGGCCTTGGTTGCTGGTTTGTTGAGATGGTAGATGCTGTCACAGGAGAGAACGTCTGCTAACGAAGGCCCTGTCCTTATGTGGTCGGCTTTCCCTCCTGGATCTCGGGATAGATTTTGTGCTGCCACCCAAAGCTGACATGGTTATGTCCTCCCTGGGAGCACAATCAGTTTGCACTTCCTCCTGGGTTATTCTTGTTGACATACAAATATGCCGCGATTGCTTCCAGGAAGAAAGTTTTGCCATGATCTTTGTAGTTTCCTTAGCAATTCTGTACTCCCATCAAATCTCCTCAAAAGCACGGTTCTGTCCACCTGTGTTATCTTGAAGTCACTCCAGTCAGGCTCTCTGCATTAGTTTTCTTTTGCTACCATAACAAATGACCACATATTCAGAAGCTTAAACAACGCAAATCAATCATTGTACAGTTCCATCCATGATGGCTTCTGATGCATGTCTTGTTGGGCCAACATCAGGTGTCAGGACCCTGCTCCTTCCTGGAAACTCTCGGGGAGAATCTGTTTCCTGCCTTTCAGGTCGTTGACAGCATTCCTTTCCTGCGTTTGCGGGACCTCTGCCCCATTTCCTTGCTGGCTGTCAGCTGAGTGCTGTTCCCAGCTCCTGGCGGCGGCAGCATTCCTTGGCTTGTGACTCTCTCTCTCCACCTCCACAGCCAGCAACGATGGTTGATACCCTTTCATGCTTTCTACCCCTTTTTTCATGTCAGGTCTCTCACCCACTCTCCCGTCTCCCTCTTCCCCTTTTAAGGAGTCGTGAGATTAGATTGGATCCACTGGGTAATCCAAGATAATCTCCCCATTTTAAGGCCTTTAACATGAATTACATCTGCACAGTCCCTTTAGCCACGCCAGGTAATGTAGTTAGAGGTTCCTGGGATTAGAACGTGGATGTCATTGGGGCACCATTGTTCTACCTGTCATACTTTCTTCTGCCTCTGAGGTAAAATCGTCACCCAGACCTTCACGGTGTTAATCCAGTGCTCATTGTAGTTCGTGCCTTTCTTGACTGAGCAGCATTTGCACAGTTGATCCCTCTGTCCTTTTTGATACACTATCTCCCCGCAGTTTCCAGGACACCCCACTCACCTGGCTTCTCCTACTGTCCCTGTCACCCTGTCATCCCCTCTCCCACTGGCCCCTCTCCATCTTCCTGACCTCTAAACGAAAAACACCCAGGACTCTTCCCTTGTCCTTCTGCACTCGCTCCTTAGGTGACCCTCCCCCACCATGGCCTTAAGTATCTCTAGATGTTGACTCCCCAGTTTCTGCACCCTGCAAGGGCTTCTCCCCTGAACTCCAGGCACGAATATCCATTTGCCTACATGTTCAGTTTGCTTGGATGCTTACAGGGAATTCACACTTTATGTGTTTGATTGCCCCCACAAACCACCCTCCCATCGTCTTCTCCATTTTAGCAAATGGCAGGTGCATTGTTCAGCTGCTCAAGCCAAAATCCTTGGAGCATCCTTGAGGCCTTTCTTGTTCTCTCACGTCATGATCCAATCTATTATATCACCACCCATGTCAGTACCACTTTCAGAATTCATCTAGGATGGGACCACTTTTCACCCCTTGGCTGTCATTACCTTAGTCCAAGCCACCAGAATCTCTAGTCTGGACTATTGCAACAGTCCTTTCACTGGCCGACCTGCTTTTGCCATGTTCCCCTTCAGTCTAGT